CTATCGTCACTTCGGCTGGATTAATCCACACCCAACGTGGACCTGCCATTGCCATCATGCACCAACAAGCCTACATTGGAAAGGGTCAGTCCATTCTGTCTAGTGGACAAATGGAACACTTCAAGATCGTCGTGGACGACAAGTCTACCAAAGTTGGTGGTCAACAACGCTTGACAACACCAGATGGCTTTGTCTTACCACTTGACATCAGGAATGGCCTTCCATACCTACAAATGCGACCACCAACAGATCGAGAACTGAGTAATCCTGACATTCCACATGTCGTACTCACCTCTGACACTGATTGGGATCCAAGTGTACTGGATCATTCGATCGAGGATACGGAAGAATGGGCAAAGTCCGTCCCTGACTACGACTCTGAGGATGAAGAACGTCCGTTTGATCTTGTAGGAGTCCTTAAGAATAATAAGGCTGTTACTTCTTTCAAGGAATCTAAACTAGATGAAACTATTGATTATTTTGAGAATTTCAATTGTGTTCTTCCGACTGATGGACTGTACGAGCAGCACCATCGAGCATGTGAAGACCTTACATGGTTTGAATGCAACATGGCTGATCTATTTGGCTTTGGTGCAGCACCAGAAGATTCACCCATCCCTGAGTGTTTCGAGGTCTATGAGGCTCGTAAGCGTCCTTCAGTGCTGTTTGACCCAGGACAACCAGTCAACTACGATATCGAATCAGCTCCTTTGGAAGCCAATTCTTTCAAGGACCTCATACTCGATTCGGACAAGCCGACCCTGAGGCGCAGCCCACGCCATAAGGCTAGGAAGACACCTCATGGGGAGTCAGGTCGTCCTCCACCGCCAAGAGTACATTTCGATGATACTCTGACTGACGCACCACCGGTCTACGCCACGGCAGGCCCTAAGACTAAGAAGCGTCAACGCGATTGGGAAAAGCTACGGCAATACTTTGCGTGGCTGCCTAAACTAGTGATTCAGAAAACTTTTGACTGTACTACTCAGTTTGCTAGAATTCCAATGAGTGCTCACTTGCAGCGACACTTTCGTTCGCCTTTTCCAGCACTCAATGTTCAACGTCGTGACGAACCCGTCGCTACTGATACCGTATTTGCGGATACGCCTGACATTGAACATGGTCACGTCGCCGCACAATTCTTCGTTGGTACGCGATCACTTGTGAGCGACCTCTATGGTGTCTCCACCGATGGACAATTTCTGCAGACACTGCAAGATAACGTCCGCAAGCGAGGTGCTCCTACCAAACTTGTGAGTGATCGTGCACGAGCCCAAACGTCAAAGGCTGTACAAGACTACTTACGATGGTTGTTCATCGATGATTGGCAGAGTGAGCCACACCGACAGAACCAAAACCCAGCCGAACGACGCTACCAAGATATCAAACGACTCGCTAATAGAGTAATCGATAGAACAGGTGCCCCACCTAGTCTATGGCTTTTAGCCTTCCGTTATGCCTCGTTTGTATACAACCACAGCGCCGTCGAGAGCCTTGGATGGCTTACACCCCTTCAGGTCCTCACCGGGACCACCCCTGATATAAGTGTATTGCTACGTTTTCAATTTTATGAGAAGGTATACTTTAAACTTCAGGAGCCTAGTTTTCCATCCGACTCTCCGGAGGCCATAGGATACATGGTTGGCATTGCAGAGCATGTTGGCCACGCAATGACCTACAAAGTTCTCGACCCAAAGACCAATACTGTTCTTTATTGGTCTGAGCTACGTAGTGCCCAATCACCTACGGACCCCAACAAGAGCCTTGAAGCATCTGATGGGGAGGAACCGACACCCCCTACTATCATTAAATCTTATTCTGATAAAGTTCCTGATGATAACTTGTCTTTAATCTATGATAGAGATGAGAAGCTGCGTTCAGATGACGCCAAGGCCTTGGTCCACAACCGTGATCTTATCGGTCGGACCTTCCTTCTTGAGCCTGATGACAAAGGTTACGTACACTGAGCTAAGATTGTTGACCTTATCGATCAACACGAAGAAAAGACAACCAGCCAATCTGAGCACATCCAATTCCGTGTAAGTGTCAATGACGATGAGTACGAAGACGTCATGGCCTACAACGAGATCCTGGAGAGACTCGAGGCTGACCAGGAGAACCCAACTGTCTGGAAATTCAAACGGATTGCCGGACATCAGGGACCACTTCACCCAAGTCATCCATCGTACATGGGATCCAAGTACAATGTGACTATGGAGTGGGAGAATGGGGAGATCACTCCTGAGCCACTGAGTGTCATAGCCAAAGATGACCCAGTCGCCTGTGCTATCTATGCTAGAGATAATAACTTATTAGACCATGATGGTTGGAAACGTTTTAGATCTATAGCTAATAGGCAAAAGAAGCTCCTGAGAATCGTAAATCAGGCCAAGCTTCGATCGTTCCGTACTGCACCCAGGTACATGTATGGATTCGAAATCCCGAAGGACTACAAGGATGCTCTTCGTCTGGATCGGATCCATGGCAATACTAAGTGGCACAACTGTACGAAGTTGGAAATGGACCAACTTGCCGAATATAAAGTGTTTGTAGATATTGGCAAGGGAACTCCAATTCCAAAGGGATTCCAAAAGATCCGAGTTCACCTTGTGTACGCCTGCAAACATGACGGCAGACACAAAGCCCGACTTGTGGCAGATGGCCACCTGACTTCGGTACCCGTCGATAGTGTATACTCCGGCGTGGTTTCCATTAGAGGCCTGAAGCTAATGATCTTCCTTGCCGAACTAAACGACCTGGACCTATGGGCTACAGATATTGGTAATGCCTACCTAGAAGCTTATACTAGTGAGAGAGTAGCTATTGTAGCAGGACCAGAGTTTGGGGAGCTAGAAGGACACACACTTCTTGTCTCTAGAGCTCTCTACGGACTTCGCTTGAGCGGAAAAATGTGGCATCAGAGATTTTCGGCATGTCTAGAGGAAGAAGGATTCTTCCCTTGCAAGGCCGAGCCAGATATCTGGATGCGTCCCACCCCTGATGGGAAGTCGTATGAGTACGTCGGCGTCTACGTTGACGACCTTGCACTGGCAATGCGAGACCCCAAGTCATTCCTAGATAAATTAACCAACGAGTATAAGTTTAAACTTAAAGGTTCTGGACCACTGGAATTCCATCTAGGATGCGATTTTTTCGAGACAAACAAGGCGTGCTTTGCATGTGCCCTCGAAGATACATCGATCGAATGGTAGATACGTACCAACGAATGTTTGGCCAAAAGCCAAGGACCAATGTGACGTCGCCCCTTGAAAAGGGAGACCACCCCGAATGTGACACATCCGAACTTCTGGATGAGGAAGGTGTCACTCGGTACCAGTCATTGGTCGGTCAACTTCAATGGGCTATCTCTCTTGGACGCCTGGACATAGCGACCGCAGTTATGACCATGTCGAGCTTTCGCTCCGCGCCAAGACAAGGCCACCTTGATCGAGCCAAGCGAATCTGTGGCTACCTTCTGAAGATGAAAAACGCAGCCATTAGATTCCGAACCGGGCTACCAGACTACACTGACGTAACTGAGCCAGTCTATGACTGGGCAGACTCAGTATATGGCTGTCCTACCGAACAGATCCCTACTGAAGCACCAACACCGTTGGGCAAATCAGTAATCCTGACTCACTACGTGGACGCCAACCTATTCCACTGCATGTTGACTGGTAGATCCGTAACAGGTATTCTACATATGATTAATGGAACACCTATTGATGCCTTTTCAAAGAAGCAAGCTACCGTGGAGACTGCCACATACGGCTCCGAATTTGTCGCAGCCCGTACCTGTGTGGAACAAATCATGGACCTACGATTCACACTGAGATACCTCGGTGTTCCTATTCAGGGACGTAGCTACATGTTTGGAGATAATGAGTCTGTTGTTAACAGCTCATCTCGACCAGATGCAAAATTGCACAAACGACATGTCGTGTTGTCGTTTCATTGTGTTAGAGAGGCTGTAGCATCCAACATGCTTTCTTTTCTACACATCAATGGTGTCAAAAACCCGGCTGATATCCTAAGCAAGCATTGGGGATATCAACAGATATGGCCGCAGCTACGTACACTACTCTTTTGGGTAGGTGACACAGCTGGCGAGGACTAGGTCCTCAATCACTCACCCATTTGGGGAGTGACAGAATTGTATCAAGAACGGGTTCGTGATTCGGACCTATACAATTCAATCATCAGCGGTCTTATGGGTCCTATAGTAATTAGTAGTAAAATAGATATATGACTCGGATGAGAGCGTTGAGAGCCACACATCAACGCTCGTCAATTCCCGATCAACTCATCGCGTCGTGTTTTGTTTACCTTGAATTGATTATCTTATCTTCTAGTGTAACTTCGAGCGTTCCCCAAGAATAATTATATTCTGTCAAAATTTGTAATCGACTATACAACACTTTCATGACAATAGTTCTCCTGTGTCTAGGTATACTTTGAGTGAAATTTTTCCTATTTGATTAATGTTTGGCTTGAATTGATGATTCAATCACAAAAGTGAGTTCAACGATTTTCCCTTGGAAAATCCCTTGTTTACAGAACTCGATTCGGCTTCTACGAGGATTCTGTGTTGAATGCAGTACTTTGGGACATCTTGTATTATTCCCTACTGCATCGTACACAACATCCATATTTCACTTGTATAGGGTCTTTCCCTTTTTGTGTGGATATAGATTGTCCGGCAGACTTGCTTCGAATTCCGGCATCACGATCAAAGTCCGATCGCATGTGTCGAAAACCTCGTACTTGAATAGTTTCTTTTGGAACGTAAAAACTCATATTTCGTCATATCCCAACAAATGCAAGCATAGTGTCTTTTGCAATCACTTGTTTGACATGTTCAAACGCTTCTGTGTGTTCTTGTTTCCATACTAATGGACGTCCTTTTTTGCTTGATTTGATTAGTTCAGTAAATGGAGCTAACATATGTGAGCGCTTTTCCCACATATCACGGTAATAAATATATAACTGATGCATTAATCGTACTAAAACTATCTCAAGTTTCTAGATTGCCGTTAACGGCTGTCATGGCCATTTACCATGCGGAGGTGAGTCCAGTACTGTTGAACCAGTTTGAGGCATCCAATCCCAGGGAAGTTGCTCTATCGCATATTACATTGCACCCTTGCACATGTAGAAACGATCTTGCCACTCGAGGCGGCATATTTTTATTTTGTTTTTGTGTTTTTTGGAGATGGTGGTGGGCATGATTGTGTCGCAGGTGAGAAGCCAACTGTTCTTGCGCCCCACTGCCATGGGTGTATCAATCCAAGTGAATGGAGAGCGTCCCAATGGCGCAGTGTTCCAGAATAATGTGGCCACCATCTACATCACAGACTGCAGTTCCCTAGTCCTGTGGTCGACACAGGGAGAGTGAAACATAGAGGGGGCAGAGAGATGGCCGAGACATAAGACTGTTTATAAATGAAAATAGGACCATTGCAATGGCACCCCCAATGGTCAAGCAAGGGTTAACAAGTTGATTCCAAATCAGTACCATAAACATGTGAAAGTAACAACTACATAACATGGGGCAGTAGAATGCTCTTTCTTTACTACTGCAATTCGACAACGCCTGCGCGCTTTTTGCCGGCCCTCAACACGACTTCCTTCTTATTATCAAAATCAAGGCTTGTGAGGGTCGCTACTTCATTTTCGATCTTTGTGTCGCCAAGTTTAGCGCCTCCACCAGCAATCAACCTACGTGCCTCCTTCTTGCTACCTGCCAGTCCCAACTCCACAAACAAATCGACAAAGCGCCTCCCATCTCCTTCTACATCTGACGAACACACATAGATTCTCGGCAAGCTATCAATTGATTGACCAGCCCCTTGAAACATGCTCTTCACGGTTTCGTGAATAAGCGGTAAACAATCTCGCCCATGAAGCATAGCTGTAGCTTCATTTGCGAGTACGACCTTGGCTTGGTTGATCGCTGACCCCTTTAATTCTTCCAATTTTGCGATTTCTGAAAGGTCAAGCTCGGTGAATAGTTTGAGGAATCGGATGACATCTTCGTCAGATGTGTTTCTCCAGAACTGCCAATAGTCATAATCGGATAGCTTATCAGCGTTGAGCCAAACCGCACCTCCTGCTGTCTTGCCCATCTTTGTGCCATCAGATGTGGTGATAAGTGGAGCCGTCAACGCAAACAAATGAGCTCCTTCACAACGCCTACCCAATTCTGTCCCGGAAACCATGTTTCCCCATTGATCACTACCTCCCAGCTGTAAGATGGCATTATGACGCCGGTAGAGCTCAAGAAAATCGTAAGCTTGCAAGATCATATAGTTAAATTCGAGGAAAGAAAATGGCGCTTCCCGTTCCAAGCGTTGCTTCACTGACTCAAAACTCATCATTCGATTGATAGAGAATTGACTGCCATAGTCTCTCAAGAAGTCGAGGTACTTCAGTGACGAAAGCCATTCATCGTTATTCACCATCATTGCATCAGATGGTGCACTATCGCCAAAAGTGAGAAACTTTTCGAAAACTTTGGAGATTCCGTCAGTGTTTCTCTGAATTATTTCTTCGGTAAGCATGACTCGACTATCGTCCTTTCCTGTTGGATCTCCAACCTTTGACGTCCCGCCTCCAATCAGTACAATTGGCTTATGTCCATTCTTCTGTAAATGTCTCAGAATCATGATTTGTAACAGGCTGCCGACATGCAATGAATCAGCAGTTGCATCAAAGCCAAGGTATGCAGAGACACACCCTTCCGACATCTTTTTGTCCAATTCTACAATCCCTGTGCACTGATGAAGAAAACCTCTATCTCTCATTACTTTGAGGAAATCAGAATTTAGGTTTTTCAAGGCCTCTTTCTCCAGGCTGTATATCGAGGAGCTGTCTTCGTTGCAAGTTCGATGTTGTCTCGTTGAGGAGAGGGACAAATGAGAGTCGCTGTTTTGCATAGCTCGAGAAACTAGAGACCTCCTTGAGACGGAGAAGGCATAAGAGCGGCAAATTGTAGAAGCCGTGGCACAAATCATAGTTGCCATTCTTACTTTCATTTTTCCTCTACCTGTCGGTAATTATTAGTAGTAGGTAGCAGTGCGGGTGGAAGATTTGTGTGGCGTGGCGGAAAAAATTCGGTGCTATTACCTTGCACGGAAAACTTCTTGGCGGAGCGACTGCAGGTGTTGGCTAGCGAAGGACGGACTGATCGGAACGCCCAAGTACGTATGCGAAGAAGGTACAGTAGCAGGACAGTGGAAAGCTACGTACCACAGAGGTTGTGAAAGAAGTTGGTAAAGCAGCTGCAGCTCAGTTGCAGCTCATTCCTTTTGAAAAGACTGCTCTGTATTTGACAGAGTGAATTTGAAGTCTAGGAATAGATAGTTATTAAGATTAGGAAAGCACACGGCTCTTCTACCTGTAACAC